AACAACTTACTTACACATAGTAAGAAATGGTTATAAAAACTGAAACAGAAGTGAAACAAGTAATAGGAAATGGAGTGTCCATTGTTGGCAAGTCAAATAGGAATAGACTATTATCACGCTTTGAGTGTAAAGCCAAAAAAAAAAATCCTTTGGTGGACCAATCCTAGGTTACAGCTCTAAATAAATATCGGTTCTTATTTTTCAACTCTGCTCATAAGATATCATTTGTCTTTTCATGGGTAAAGGACTTTGTTTTATGTCGGTACAGTGTAATCAAACCCAGTCATGTCCAGCCATAAAACTATCTGCAATGTTTTTGGCAGACAAAAGCAGTTGGAGAATATTTTGGTGGTGGCACAGCAATTCCATGAGACCCTTGTGCCTTTGACGGAGTGGCTGACAGCTACCGAAAAAAGACTAGCCAACTCAGAGCCCATCGGCACCCAGACGTCCAAGATAGAGGAGCAAATTTCTCAGCATAAGGTGCAGAACCGTCTGTAGCGACAGCGTAGTCCCATGACCATGTTTAGTTTGTTTGCCATCGTGTTTTACTTTTTTTTATCCATTGCCCATTTGCCCTGCATTTCTGTTGTTCTTGTGTTCTCATTTGACCCATTCTTTTTCTGTTATGGTTTCCGCACCCTGGTTATGTGAATTCCATGGTAATCAGGCTTTAGAGGAGGAGGTTTTGGGCCGTGGTAAGATCTTGTACCAGACCATGAGTCTGGGCCAGTCTCTACGTGCGGTCAGCTGTGCGGATGACAAGGAGCTGGTGCAGGCAAAGCTTGACAACACGCACAGCAGCTACATCGAGCTGCAGGAGCATTGCCGCCAGAAGGCTGAGTTATTGCGGCAGGCCCTGGCTAATGCGCAGCTCTTTGGGGAGGACGAAGTGGCCCTAATGACCTGGCTCGATGAGGTGCACGGCAAACTGAGCGAAGTCTCGATCCAAGACTACACGACGGCCGTGCTCTCAAAACAGCATGCTGAGCAGCTGGTACTTTACAAGCTCCTCCTCTTAAAGCTTCCTTCCCCTGTTTTCATTTAATTTCTGTCTTCAGTGGTGTGGTATGATTTTGTATCACTCTGTCAGAAGATGCTGGTGACTGATGTATGTTTCAATGTCCAGGCTCTTCATGAAGACATTGAGTTGAGGAAACAAAATATTGAACAGGCCGTCCTAAATGGGTTAGAACTGCTGAAACAGACCACAGGTGAGATTTTTAAAAAAATTAGAAATTCAAATATGTAAAAAATGCAATAACAATTATTTTAAGATTTCTTTTTATATTTGCATGACCTGAGTCAATGTTTAGAAGGTTTCCTGATAGATGTTTTCTATGCTCTGAAACTATGTGAATGTCTGTATCATGTGTGCACACTTTCATTCAGGCGATGAGGTTGTCGTCATCCAAGGTAAACTAGATGGAATAAAGACGAGGTATTCAGAGATCAACACAATGAGCAACAATGTTTCAAAGACTCTGGACAAAGCCCTGTCTCTTGCCACAAAGCTGCAAAACACCCATGAAGAGCTGAACTCCTGGTTGGAGAAGGTAGAGTCTGAGCTGGCCACGTTTACAGCTCAAGAGCCAGTCGGAGAGCAGCTCACTCACTTACAAGAGAGGCAGAAAGTAAGTGTCAGTACTGCAGCTGCAAGTTAACCCATAGGTAAAAAATGTATCAACTGAGATCTCACGTGTTTCTGCTAGACATCTAAAATGCCGAACAAACTGAGTCTTTTAAGTCTCCCTTTCATATGTGTACTTCAGTTTCAGAAGACTCAATAAAGTCTCAAACTGTGCTTAGATTCGCCAGACCAAATTATTTAGACTATGAAATCCAAATTTATAGCTCTATAAAAATACATTTTAGGAGAAAGAGATAAGGCAAAGCTGATTTTGAATCAAACATGATTAAAATCCAATGTAACTCCAATTAAGTGGTTGCAAAATCTCCTTTTAATGCAGTATGTATATAAATTGTAAAATTTTAAATGTTTTAAAAAATACAGTTAGAATAATAAGACACAATAGGGATGTTTCCAATCAAATGAAATCAGTATCAATAAAGTCTATCTTTGCACTTCACTTGGCACAGAAGCTGCATCTGAAGTGGCATGTAGATGTGTTCACGCAGACTGTTTAATGCAGCTCAGAGATGCCATGAATGCATTTACACTGCAGTTACAATTGCATAAATAATGTTATGAGATTAATGTTTTAAAAATAAAATATATTGAGTAGTTGGTGGCAAGTCACTGTCTTAATGAGTGAGTCATTGATTGATTGATTCCACCAGTTTGTTTAAAACAGCTGATTCGTTCAAGAACGAAGCAAGTGACCGTCTTTATGAGTGGGTCATTAATCCTTTAACTCACCTGATTTGTTCAAATACACTGAATCATTCAGGAACAAAACACCACTGTGTTGATCAGAGACACAACAGTTGTGCTAGACTCTGTTTGGAATTATTTTTTATTGATGGAATAGATCAAAACAGTTGATATTGAGAATATTGTGTCTAAAATGTATGGTTGTGTGACAAAACTGGGCTTGTCAGATCTAAAACCGGACAGATGGCGATATAACATTTATGTTTTGATGCTGAATAAGTAATCCAGATTGAGGAAAATAAGACACTGGCTAAAAAAATAACTTGTTTACACTGTATTTTAAGGTGTCATTGTTACAGCGTAATTACACAAATACATACTGAGTAATATTAATTAACAACACGTTACTAAAGGGTTGGGGTTTGGCTGAGAAGTAGTTGCTTGTTATTATGCAAACTTTACTCTTATTACTGTAGTGGTCACACTTTATTTTAATGTCCAATTCTCGCTATTAACAAACCATTAACTATGACTTTAGCCTCAATAAACTCCTAATTTGTTGCTTATTTATAGTTAGTAAGGAATTTGTTAAGTTTAGGTATTGGTAGGATTAGGGATGTAGAATATGGTCATGTGGTATAAATGCTTTATAAGTATTAATAAACAGCCAATATGTTAATAAAAGGCATGCTAAGAAGCAACTAGTTAATAGTGAGAATTGGTCCCTATACTAAAGTGTTACCACTCAGTACATGTAACTTGTAACAAGGACGCTGCAAAATAGTGTACGACCAAAAACTCTTCACAAATATTTAATTAATAAACAACAACAGAAGAAACATCAGTATTTAAAGAATAATATTTAAAAAAGCAAAGTGTTTATGATTTCAATATTAAAATATTGTCAGAATTGGTGGATGTATCAGTTTATCACTACTTCTCTATTTGGCACATCCAGACACTGATGAAGGAGGTTAAGGATCAGAAGCCACTGGTTGACTCTCTTAATGAAGTAAGCAGCGCTCTCCTGGAACTCGTTCCATGGCGAGCAAGAGAAGGCTTGGACAGGATGGTCACAGATGACAACGAGCGCTACAGAACGGCTAGCGATGCCATTACACAGCATGTAGACCAGACCGGAGCTGCCATCTTAAAATCCCAGCAGGTACGGTGGTTCTCAGCTGCTTGGGAAAATAACACCACTCTTCTGTTAGGAAGATTCCCAATCAAGTTTGTTGAAGCACACAATGAAGCGCCTGTGATTGCTGCCAAGGGTGATTGGCCTCATTGTGGTGCTAATTCTTAGTGCTTTACAGTCATCCAAACTTAATTTATCCTCTTGAGCCGTCTTGATGGTATTTACATAATAAACTAATGGAGTGTGTGACCCAGATTGATTACATTTGCATCACATTAGTCTGTTAGCGCTTTGAGAAGACTTGATGAGTTCATGTATTCGAGTTTGTAAAATAATATATAATATATTTTAAATATAATTTAATGTCAATTAAATCTAGAAGTGTATGCAAATGTGACATGTACAGTCACATATCAGTCACATATGAATGCTTTTTCTCTGATGTGCAGTTTGAGCAGGCTGCCACCACTGAGCTTGAGTGGCTGACGGAGGCAGAGAGGAAGTTGTCATGCCTTGGGGACGTCAGGCTTGAGCCGGAGCAGACCACAGCTCAGTTACAGGCTCAGAAGGTCAGTCGTGTGTTCATGTGGTCGTCTCTAACCTGCACTGTCACAGAAAAATACAGAACGCTATAAAGCTCACATTGTCTAAAGCACGCTTTCTCCTCCAGAGCTTCTCCATGGACATTATGAGACACAAAGATGCTGTGGATGCCATTGTGAAGACCAGCGAGGTCATTATGAACAGCAAAGATGAGGCAGAGAAGCAAGCGCTGAGGGTAAATAAAGGAAAATATATAAAGAAATTTAACCTAAGCTGTTTACAGTAGAGGCTCAGGACTAAAATCACTGTGGTGTCATACAGATGAAGCTCCAGACACTGTCAGAGAAATACAGTGTGGTTAGTCAGCTGAATTCGGAGCGCTGTCTGCAGCTGGAGAGAGCTCATTCGCTGGCCTCCCAGTTCTGGGAAACATACGATGAACTCTGGCCATGGCTGCAGGAGACCAGGACTACCTTCACTCAGCTGTCCCAGCCGGCTATTGAGTACGAAGCGCTTCGACAGCAACAAGAGGAGCTGAGGGTAAGACATACCTGCTGTAACAGCTATTAAAACTCTTCTTCTCTGAATCATCTGTCTGAAATAAAATCAGTTTTTAGCATTGCACTTACAGCTGATGGGTTCATGTTCGTGAACATTAGCTACGTTTATATGCACTCAAATAATCTGTTTAAAATCAGATTGACGGCTCAATCCAATTGAAAAGTCTTCATGTAAGCACCTCAATCAATCCAAATGACTTTCGATCCGATTGACGTGGGGTGTTGACCTGAATTAATCAGATGAACAGTAAATGTAAACTGTTGAATCAGACTATTTTCTTAATCGGATTCAAACATACATAAGCAGTGCTGTAATGCGTACATTTTTTGTACGTGTGAGGTGACGAGGTGATTCTTCCAGTGTAGACACATTGTAAGAAGTTGTAGACATATGGACACTTATTTGTCATGTACTGTATATATTGTGTAGTTGCTGGTATTTTAGTGAAGCAATATGTTGTTTGAGACTGTGATGGTTTACTGTTTTGCCTTGTGCTTAACTGTTGCAAAATTACGGTAATGCAGCGCCTCGAATGGCTTAGTGCTTCATTAGAATGGCGAAGAGGATAAAGACAGATGCTATTTGAGATCTGTGTGATATGTTGTCGGATTGTGTTTGACCTTAACAGATTTTCTCTTCAGATGATAATGTTATGAACAATCCACTGCTTTTTATTTTGATGATGGTAAACTTTCCGTCTTCAGCAAATGAGGGAGCTGATAGCAGAGCACAAGCCACACATCGACAAGATGAATAAAACTGGACCTCAGCTTGTGGAGTTGAGTCCCACTGAAGGGCTGCCAATCAGAGAGAAATACGAGACCGCAGAAAAACTGTACAGCCAGCTGAAAGTCGACGTCAAGCACAGAGCAGCTGCCCTGGATGAGGCCATCTCCAAATCCACTCAGGTACATTTCAGTATTTCATGAGTGATATTCTGCCCTTTTGTAGCATTAGTTAAAGGGATTGTTCACCACAGTTGCTGGTAGCCACCAGCCCTACTATGGAAGTCAATGGCTACCAGCAACTGTTTGGTTACCCACATTCTCCAAATTATCATTTTTTATATTCCACACAAGAAAGAAACTAATACAGCTTGATGAGTAAACAGTGACAGAAATAAAATTTGTGGGTGTACTATCCCTTGAATGTTCCTCTCTCTCACCATTAGAAAAGGAAGCAAGCTGTTGCTACCGTACCATTCATGCTTAAGTATGCAACATTTCTGCTTGTCAATGATCTCCACAGTTCCATGATAAGATAGACCCCATGCTGGAGTCTCTGGAGCGCATCGCTGAACGCCTGCGCCAGCCTCCATCCATCTCTGTCGAGGTGGAGAAGATCCGAGAGCAGATATCGGAGAACAAAGCGGTGAATGTAGACCTGGAGAAACTTCAGCCGTCCTATGAGACCCTCATGCAGCGAGGAGAGGAGATGATCGCTCGCTCCGAAGGAGCAGACAAGGACCTTTCAGCCAAAGGTAACTATGCTGTTGTCACCTCGGCGTATGGGGCTTGTGTGACTACTCGGTTTTAAAGCAGTGTGATCAAATGCGTTCTTCTGTTTTGATTGAAGCTGTTCAAGATAAGCTGGACCAGATGGTGTTTCTATGGAATGACATCCAAGCTCTTCTGGAGGAAAGAGAGGCCAAGCTCCTGGATGTCATGGACTTAGCTGAGAAGTTCTGGTGTGATCACTGTGCTCTCATCGTCACCATCAAAGACACGCATGATCTGCTGAAAGAGCTGGAGGAGCCTGGAGTCGATCCTTCAGTGGTCAAGCAGCAGCAAGAGTCTGTGGAGGTCTGGAGGCTTCGGAGCAGGATGTTTGATATTCATTCGGCTTTGTGCAACATCTTCATAGTTGTTGGTTTGCTTTACAGGGCTTTAGAGAAGAGATCGACGGGCTGCAGGAAGAACTGAATGTGGTCCAGAATCTGGGGGCGGAGCTTATGACAGCGTGCGGAGAACCTGATAAACCAGTGATCAAGAAAAGTATAGATGAGGTAATGATGTCATAGGAGAATAAATGCACCCTTAGAAAAAAAAAATGTAATCATAGTTGATGTCAAAATACCATTCTAGTAGAAATTGTAGTAACTATGTGTATTTGTTTTTACCATGGCACAGTCTTTTAAAAATAAATACCATTTAGAGTGAACAAATATTAGCCACTCTGTGTGTAACAGAAGTGCTGGATGAGTCAGAGTTGGCGTCACACTGTATAATGTCTGACCACATCTCGTACGTCCCACAGGTGAACTCAGCTTGGGAAATCCTGAATAAGGCATGGAAAGAGAGAGTAGAGACTCTAGAGGAAGCCATGCAAGCTGCAGTGCAGTTCCAGGACAGTCTCCAGGTAAATATGACACACACAGACCACTCCCCTCCTGATGACTCTGAACACAGATCTGACTGGTCATTCACTCATGGGAAACTTCAGGAGCTAATTTGTAGTCAGCACAGTCTGACCTCCTGTCATGCTGAATGTGCTCATGAAGGAAAAACCAAAATTAAACGAATGATTCATGTGACGTGATTCAGCCCAAGCGGGCACCAAGAGGGTGCGCAGAGACTTTGAAAGAGAAACCAAAATAGCTTTTTGTCATTTTCATAGTGTATCCAGATCAAGAACGTGCCCTAATTTAATCATGCTAAGCAAATGATTCACGCTGGTTGCTGAATAATTCAAGATTTACAGTATTTCTCAGTTATTCTCAGAAAGTCTCTTATAAGGGATCATTGTGAATCTTAACCAGTTGTACTTGTTTTCCCCAAACTCCAGATATTAATAAAATTGATTTAGGTGTGGCTTAGTTTTGTTCATTTTCACTGTCACCTGAGCCACATTTGTATCGGGGCTATAAGTGAAACTTGACTCGATGCTAGGTGCGGATGTTGTGCAGCCTGTGACAATAGTTTCCTCCTACTCGACAGAGCATGTTTGACTCAGTGGATATTATGGAAGGCAAACTGGATTTGATGTCGCCCGTGGGCACGGACCTGGAGACTGTGAAACAGCAGATTGAGGAGCTGAAGGTATTGATTTACTGCTTGCTTGTGGGAGATTTTCTCATAACCATGACACGTTGCTTTTTGTCAAAGTCATAGTAGATCCAGATCAAAGTTGAAAGCTATTTATCTCCAGCCTCTTTCATTTTTGATTGTTTCGTGAGTATAATTGAGCAGACAGACCACACAGCAGCTGTGTTTACACAGAGCCATTCATTTGCTTCGTCTTACACAGTTGGTTTGAGCCTGCACAACTGTAAATGTTTTAACCATTGGCTTGTAGGTGAATTAACATGCTTTTAGCCCAAGATTTTATTTGTACATAATTCCTGCAAGAATTTACTAGTAGCAGAGATAGTTCACAATAGACTGGCAGTGTTATTATAAAGCCAGTCAGATATGTCTTTAGTGAATGTTAACAGGGAGGACAAAAATCTAAATATCCACTCATTAAGCCTTGTAGTGTAAATGCAGTGCATCGTGTAATGTGTGCTGTCGTGTGTGTGAAGGAGTTCAAAGGTGATGCGTACCAGCTACAGATCGAGATGGAAAGGCTGAACCATCAGACCGGGCTCCTGCTGAAGAAGGTGGTAGAGGAAGCCGACCGCAATTCCATCCTGGAGCCAATGAATGAGCTGAAAATGCTCTGGGACAACCTGGATAAAAAGATCATCAACAGACAGGTCAGACACTGAGAAGGATCTAAACTTTAAAATCAGTGTGAAACGCTGTTCATGACCCATTTAGTGCCTGTAATGTGATCTATCCCAGGGTGCAACAGGATATTCAAAAGAGTAGCAGATTTTATCCACTGGGAATTGATTGGATTGTTAAAAATGAGTAACCAGAAAGACTATAAATGTGTACAAATAGGATCGATTTTGATTTCATGTCTAGGCCTGTTGCATTTATTGATTAATCATAAGTAGTTTTTTTAGATAACTGCAATAACTGCAGTTTAATTGTTCACTTTTTGCCATCCTAATAAGGGAAATTAAAGCATTTATAGAAATGCCATCTAATGCGCAATTAGTAAAGAATAAAGAATGCAAAAATAAAAAACACTAGTGTAAATTACACAAAGATAGTCAAAGGTCTTCCTTCATAGGAAATGAAGGATTTTGGGTAGGGATGTCCCAATCAAGTTTTTTTGTGCCCCTGATCTAATCCAAGTCATTGAATATTCAGTATCTGCCGATACAGAGTCCCAATCTGATACTTGTAATTTCCTAGTGCTTGGTACACACTTCAAGTACATTATAGTTATTAAAATCAATCCAATGTATACAGGGCCATGCAAAGAGTTTCTCAGGGGCAGGGGCTCAAATGTAAAAAGGGGCATCTATCACAATGGAGTAATTCCAATATAACAATTTCTACAGTAATTATATTTACAGGCCTATACATATTATAAATATGGGACTACTGATATAATACTTCTTGAATTTTATATGTACGATAAGCTATATAATTGCAACAAAATGAAAAATAATGGAAATAAGGATAGAAAGCATGATGCTCGCGAATGCCAGTCTGTCTGTGACAGAATTATTTCAAGACATTGCAACATTGAAAGGCATTTCAAATATGGGTAACACTTTACAATAAGGTTCATTAATTAACATTAGTTAACTGCTTTAGTTAACATGAACTAAGAATGAACAATACTTCTACAGCATTTATTAATCTTAGTTAATGTTAATTAAACATTTATTAATGCCTTATTAAAATCAAAAGTTGTGTTTGTTAACATTAGTTAATGCACTGTGAATTAACATGAACTAACAATGAACGA